TTATCATCGCCTGTAGCGGTAAGTAGCAAGCAGATTGTATAATATATCTGCTTGTGTATAATATCTTGGAGCGACAGTAGCCTAATGACAGGGCACGGACCGCGACTTCAAAAAGGTCGTGGGTTCGAATCCGCCATTCGACTACTGGCGTGAACCACTCGCAACACAAGCAATTTAAGCTTACCACGAGTGATTAAGGGGAATATTAGTAATGTTTATAGCATTGTTAATATTATTTTGAAAAAAAAAAAAGATTGTGTCAAGTTGTAAAGTTAAAAATTACTAAAAAGCACAATCCTCTTGAATCCATGCACTCTCACTCTTAACGGCATCTTTACATCTGCAGTCTTTTCATTCTTTCATACTAGATGTATGTGTATTTCTCATTGAATGATGCGTGTTCTATTTTTATTTTACATCGATGTCATGAAAATCGTGATTTTACGTTAAGAAAATATTCTTATCGTTTCTTAAAAATGTATTTATTTAGTGCTGTATATCCCTTAATAAGTAATTGAAGGTCCAAATAGCTATTAATTTTTATTACTAAGGATCACATGCATATAAGTTATATATTATAGAAAATACTTGACACTTTGATTACGATGGCATTGCGTCTTGTTGCTAAAGACGCGTGCTCAGTGGTGCATCGCCCGCGTGCGGCCAGCGCTGTGGTCAGTCTACCAACACTCTCTCATAGTGGCCACATTAGTCTGTGAAGACATGGACCATAATACATTTTATTTATCACAGTGATGGTGTAACTATACGGTATTTAAATGAATGTGCGATACATGTGTCTTTTATTAATGGGCGTGAGTACAGTTATTAATTTTTAATCATGTTAATACAAAGATTTAAATAGTGTTAATATAGATTTGTGGAATCCTCGGGAAAGATCTAATTATTTATATCCTCGAAGCCTATTAGACTGAATTATAATAAATTTTTAAACCAAAACTTGATCCATAATTGTTAGTAATTTTAATATTTATATATTTGATATTTCAGATATTTATTCAATGTTTTTAGCTCCTTTAGGTTCTATACCTATATTTGGCAGCTGTTTCTAATTCAATTTACTCAATATGCTTTCGAGTAAAAATATGTTTCAAATAAACGAGTTTAGAGAAGAGAGAACTTTTTAGTTAATATGTATACAAATATAAAATGTGAAACTTGTGCCTGTTTTACTAATTAAAAAGGTCGTTAAAAAAATTTCACGGTATGTAATTTTAGAGGGCAAAAATGAATATTTGCCGTTCACTCCTACAAAGTTACTAAAAATAACGTTATTTTTTCTGTTCTTAAAACTTTCGCTACATAGATAGTGCTAGGGTAACATACTCCTATAATTTTTTAAAGTTATTTTAAAAAGTGGTTACATTACAGTCGGATATAAATCTATGTAATTTTTGAATCTCGCCTTGAATAAGATCTTTCGATTACGCGAAACCTCGACGTTTTTACGCTAAAAAAAACTTCTCTTATCACCGTCAAACGGGAACCGTTTACCTTGATTTGAGTACTTTATAGAATGTTGTTTTGGAAATTTCAACTGATTATCTTTAATTACTAAGTCTCAATTTCATCTGGCCATATATGTGGTAGTTACTACGTCTAATGCGGGTCGCCAGTACGCCGCTTACCTGTACAAGGCTGCCACTCATATACCCGCCTGCACAATTTGTTGTCGGTTTATTTTTGTTTTGTTTTATAAGAGGAAGCGTGACAAAACGATCTAATAATCGAATTTGTGCTGTCACCCCTGATTAAGATGGAATTCCTAATTGTATTTAGCAAACAAAGACTTTATAATATTATTTTACACTGGTATTCTCTGAGAGGGTGGTCTTTCCCTCGTCAACTCGAGCTATTCAAACTGAAGCCTTAACGTAGCTAAAATGTGTATCCATCTCGTATAAATATTAATGAATAAGTTTTTAGGTATAAAGTTCGTACTATAATAAGTAAATCAGGAATCTTTACAGTAAATAATTAAAATTCTTTGCGCCTCTTATCATTATGTACTAACCCTTACCGTCTAATCGTGATCATCAGAAAACCTTTATTAATTTATTTAGGTCCATGTTCGGTAGCAGAATTGTGATGTAGCAGATTATATATTTAGTAAGATAACTGTCGGGTTCGGGTATACCTGTATATAGTCTACTACGTCAAATCTTATAATGTACGTTTTATGAATGTAAAGGAAGTATTTAATTCAGTTTTCACCCACTTCCGGACGTCTAAATAATCTGAAATTTAGAAAACACCGATGAGAAATCACTAATTTCATGATTATGACTTAGTATTCTCACGACTTTTTTAATGCTCTAACTTTATTTTTAACCGACTTCAAAAAACAGGAAGTACTCAATTCGACTGTATTTATTTTTTTCTAGCAGAACCGATCTTGATAATTGTTTTTTATTTGAAGGTTGTTGTTTCGCATGTAGTCACATATAAATTTGATTTATCACATTTATATGTGATCTGATCAGTAGTTTTTGAGTTATCCTTAATAATGCGTATTTAATTGACTTTGACTACATTGATGATGTTCTCATTTTATTTATATTGAAGTCGGTAGTACAAAATTTTTAATTTTACTAGTTGTTTACATAGAGAGCCCCGCTGCAGCTATATTATGATTGTAGCACGAATGGAACGGCTCGACCGTGGTACTAACACGCCCTCACAGAATGCCAGCGTAAAATAGCGGCTCAATGCTGATCGAATGGTGAGTGGAGAGAACCGAAGATCATTTTTACTGGTAAGGAGACATTCCATCTTAGTCCTCAGGAGTGACGACGCACCTGCATTTTGATTCTTTTTGAATAAAAATGTGTATGTCTATGGGCCTCGTCATCCACTTACCATCAATTTGACTTTATGTGTGTGTGAACCTTAATTATATAAACAAAAAATACTGGTTGTTTTATTGTAGCCAATTTTAACTGGGGACCCGACTTTTAAGTGTTATATGATTCAGCTACGTCTCTCGACTACGATCTTATAATGCTACCATGGGGTGGAGCAAGACTTATTATTGGTGTGTGCAAGATGAGTTATCTGAGGCCCTGGCGACAAATAAATATTTCTAGTAAACATTCTTTGGATTTCTATTTGCAACCCGTCACAAATCCACTTCTAAGATTTGGTCTCCCCAACGACTAGTATTTTTGTATGTGTACCTAGTGGTTTTGAGCCACCAAAATACATCCACATCCTGTGAATGTTATACCTGGTCGTTCAACCTTCATATAGTAGGAACTCACCTCGCTCCGCTTAAAAGGAGGCTGTCGGCCTTTCTTCTGCATAGGTCTTCAGTATTTCGAACTATAGGGCCAATTGCGCATTCTTTATTGATACATAACATAAATACATAAACACTCACGCCTGTCACCCAGAGGGGTAGGCAGAGATTACGGAATTCCATTTGGCACGATCCTGTCATACCTCTTTCGCCTCCTTTACATCCATATATCTACGCATACGTGCTCGTCGGTTAAGGGTACTTCTAACGTGGCCCATTTTCAAAATATTGCCAATTTGGTCGATAAACTTTCTTCTAGGGCGTCCCTTCCCGACTCTGCCGTTCACATCTGCCATATAAATTTGCTTTGTCACTCTTTCCTCATTCATTCTTTCTACATGACCAAACCACCGAAGCATTCCTTTCTTAATCCTGGTCACAACATCATCTTGCATACCACATTTATCGAATCAATACAAATTTTATTGATACAATGGACAATATCGGTAACACTGGTTCTGCTGCAGATATCTTTGATACAGATTCTGTTCAGCAAAGTAACTCGGAGCTCAGCCCTTTTCATAGTTGGTAGAACGACTTTAAGCTTTCTCATGCACTCTAATGTAAAGGACCTTGTCTCGGTTTCATATATCATCTCTGGCAACACTCACTTATTGTACACTTGTTTTGAGATTTTGAGGTTTGTTGGGCTACTTATTCAAGTTCGATTCATCAGAGAAAAGTTGGTTGGGATAAATTCTGTGTCCTACGTGAAAAAGACTTTGAAAAAACTCTACGCGATCTAAATTATTTACATGATAGCGCTCATATTAAAATCAAAACAAAAAAGTAAATAACTTACAAAATATACCCTTTCGCAAATCGAAAAACACCATATGAGCCTTATTTGCTTTAGACATATTCTTCAAGAAATTGTGTGCGTAGGTTTCCAACCATCTCCGTTTTCAACCATCCCCGATCAACACTTAGATGTGACAAGAACATATCTTTTTCTGACGACATAACCGTAAGAAGGTGAAACTGAGCACAAAGTCAGCTTATTCCGGAGACACGAAGTCTTGAATGACTTTCGAAAACAGAATGCACATGCAGGTTAGAAGAGAAATCACCTGTAGTTTCTTGATAAGGGCATTATCGTCGTTTTTGAAAAACAAGATATTTTGACACACGTGAACTTAGCGTGACTTACCGTAAATGGAATGGCACCGTACTCTGGTCCGAAGAGCCAAGAGGAGCATTGAGGGTGACCTGATATCCGTCCGGATGAGAGGTCAGCAGAAGGTCCAACAGGGAAGGTACATGATCTTCCACATCTGGGATCCGCGTAGTCAAGGTTACCAGTTGTGTCAGAATATATGCAAAAGTCATAAACAGATCTACCCGTATGATCGGTTAAAAGGGAATCACGCTATTCAGCGTGGTGGGCATTAAAATCACCAATCATCACGATCTCTGTGGATGGGACCGGTTATAGCACGGAACCTGTGTTCTGCGTATCACTCTTTTTATAAAGACATTTTAATTCAAAATTACTTACCACATAGATCTACTCTAATTGTTTTAACTTGTCCTGAACTAACTTAAATATAAACATTAACATTTTTAAACATTGCGTTTGTGTTTTAGATTAGAAGAGTTGCAAGTCAGCGACAACGAACTACGATCGTTGGACTGCCTGTTACAATTACCACGGTTGCGAACGTTGGTCGCTGTTCGAAATATGATTACAAGTTTTGAGGTGAGCCTTGCATTATTCATCATTTAATCCATGCACGTTAACGTTTGGATACTTACCCTCTTTTAACCCTTCGATCCCCATAAAAATCCGATACAGTCGCATGCGCCTGGCAAATCCTGAGCGGTCGCATGCAACCACACCCACCCGCAGCACTTAAAACCATTAAAAGTTATATTTAGAGACTACTTTTCTATGAAGAAGTTTGGCATTATAAAATCTATACAAAATTCTCTATATAAAAGTCAGATTTTACTTCATTACAAAAAGACTATTGTATTTTGATAACAAAAACAAAATATACCAAGCGAATGTCGGCAGCGTGAAAATCACAATTATTTCAATATATATTACTCGAAATTATTTACGTAAAAAGATAAATTATATTCACACAAAAACTTTCATTACAATTTTATAATAAAACATTACACTAAAACGCTAATAAAACACTAGAAAAATCCAAAAATCAACACAATAACATTCACGCGAAAATGGCATACGAAATTAACGTAGATTATAAATAATTATCCATAAGATTACTTGACTTTTTATTACACTAGAGGATAGAAAATTTTATGTTGATTCTATAATGTACTGTTTTAATGGTTTAAAAGTGCTGCGGGTGGGTGTGGTTGCATGCGACCGCTCAGGATTGGTGGGTGTGCGCGGTCGAATTCATACATATTTGAGGTGGGTTATAGGTGAGGTGCACTCTCTATTCCCTCACTCTCATAATCCGAATGGACGGTAAACCGACAAGACCGGAGAGAGATCAGGCGCAGGACCAACGGTTTTATGTCCTTCACTAGGCACGGGGGTGACACACCGCCAAATTCCTGGCTCCGGGCAACTACTGAGAATTTCTTGATAGCAATCGCAATACTACAACCACTAGACCAACGAGGCAGTTAAGCAACTGCTTTAAATATGCCATAATTGCCAAGATTAGCAGGCGTGTTGGCAACTGCATTATTAGTTTTTTAGTTTTTAGCAGCAGGACGCTGCTACCCATCCACTGATTTTTCCTCTCTGTCGCCTTTTACGACACCTACTGGACGATTTTTTTATACCAGGCGTTATAATTGGATGGTCATTAGAGAATAATAATACATTTTCCGCGTATTTGTCTTATGTTTACGATATTAACTGACAATTTGAGTAATTCGACACTATCGAAAAAATAGTAATCTACTTTTATTACATTTATATATTTTCAAATAGTCTATTGGCGTCATACTACATTGGCCTAAAATGTCCGAGTAAAATAGGGTAGTGGATATTTTATTCCGCCACTACATGATAGACACACTGTATTTCTGAAATAATATTTAAACTATTTCAGAACACTAATTCAAGGCCAATGTGCCTCGATGATGAGAACGGACCACAACAGCGAGCACCACTGACTAGCATCGATCTCCGCCATAATAGATTAAAAGGAAGCATTGTTCTTGGTAATTATGAAGTAAGTTTTAGAATTATATACATTTTATTTATTTATAATTGCAATTTATATAATTTTGTTAACAATTAGCTTTATTTTTTCTGATATTTTTGTTTTTAACGTATTTACCACGAAAAAATCGTATTCTCATAATAGTGAAAAAAAATTACATTCAGTTAACGTGTACTTTTTATTTCATATTGTAGCGTCAATTGCGCGATCTCCCGACGTTATAATTGCTTTTCAAATGTACATAGCTACCTACTAATTTTTACTGCCATAATCATTCCTATTTAATCGATTAAAGTATTCTCATATGTTCGAATACCTTCATTTATTGAAATAATAAATAGTAATTATCCTAGCAAAAGTTTCGATTACCATATTTTTGTAATTATGTATTTAATTTTCCTTATATTTTAAATTAAAAGTAAGTCTACATACACTAACAAGACAAACAATTATTCTTCAGTACTTTGTGCTAGCAAAATAAAAGAAAACACCTATTAACGCTAATTAAATATGTTATATGATGGTAACTGTAGAAAATTTCTGAACATTTTGCTATTTACTTTCACCGTTAATTATCATTTTATAATTTGTTCTTGTGTAACATTATAATATCATGTACGCCACATTATAAAGACGTTGAGGTACGTCTCTCACAAGATGTGATTATACAGTTGGGCTGAAAAGTTAGTATCGTTTTATAAAAAAACACATTTTTTGGCAAAATTTGATTTTATTATACAACATAGTTGCCATCGAGGGCGATACACCGATAATAGCGATGTTTCAACTTTTCAATACCATTCTTGTAGTACGATTTGTGTTTAGCTTCAAAATAGGCCTCTGTTTCGGCGATTACTTCTTCATTGGCTTTAAATTTATTTCCAATGAACATTCTCTTGAGATCTGAGAACAGGAAAAAATAGCTGGGGGCCAATCTGGAGAATACGGTGGATACGAAGCAATTCGAAGCTCAATTCATGCAATTTTGCCATCGTTTTGATCGATTTGTGACATGGCGCATTATCTTGATGGAACAACACTTTCTTCTTATTCAAATAGGGTCATTTTTTCGCGATTTCAGCCTTCAAACGCTCCAATAACGCTAAATAATAGTCGCTGTTGATTATTTTCTTTTCCAAGATAGTCGATGAAAATTATTCCATGTGCATCCCAAAATACGGCATACAAATACAAAATACGCCATAACCTTACCGACCCTCTGTTGAGTTTTTCCACGCTTTGGATTCGGTTCATCGCACGCAGTCCAGTTAGATGACTGCCGAATAGACTCCGGAGTGTAGTGGTGGATTCGTGTTTCATCGATTGTTACATATTGATGCAAAAATTCACTTCTATTGCGGTTGAACAGCTTCAAACATTGCTTTGAAGCATCGACACGTTTTTGTTTTTGGTCGGTTGTGAGCTCGCGTGGCACCCACTTTGCACATAGCTTTCGCATACCCAAATATACATGAACGATATGTGCAATACGTTCCTTTGATATCTTTAGAGTGTCAGCTATACAAATCAACCACAATTTACGAACTCATATGGTGCTCATATGGCCTTTACGTACGAGGGCGGCACTGAAAATTTCGGGAATCAAGGAAGTGCCACAAAATTACTATTTAAAAATGTATTTATTGCTTTTCGAAGTATTCTCCGCAAAATTTGACACATTTTTCCATATGATGGAACCAATCATTGAAGCAACCATTCCATTCGGAAGTTGGGGTCTCCAAAATGGCCGTTTTGTAGACGTCCACAGCTTCTTCAGGTGATCGTGAGGAGATATCTTTATTTTAGGGAAAGTATAGAAATCATTAGTTAGGGCTTAGGTCGGGGCTATACGGCGGATGGTCTAATAATTCTATGTTTTCTTGCTCTAAAAACTCTTTTGTCCTGTGTGCGGTGTGAGAACTCGCATTGTCGTGATGGAGGATGATGCGGCGGTTGCAGTTCTCTTTACGGAGTTCGGAAACGACACGTGGCAAACAAATGCTAGCATACCATTCTGCATTAAACGTTCTTTGTCCCTTAAAAGGAATAATCGTAACATGGCCGGTTTTGGAGACAAACGTGGCCACCATTTTTTTTGCAACACTCCGTGAACGAACAATTTTTGTTGGCTTTAACTCATTTTCGAACACCCAAACTCGTGATTGGTTTTTTGTTTCGGGTTCGTACGCATATATCCAGGATTCGTCACCTGATACGATGTTGTACATTGTACATACAGCATTATACAGCATTTGAGGATCCTGCGTGGAATCTTTCGAGAGTTCTGACGCACCAAGTAACGCGAGCCGCTTTTTTGCTCTTCACATAGCAAATGCGGTATCCATCGGGAAAACAACTTTTTATACCTAATTGTTCATGCAAGATTATTTGTATTTGACTCATGCCAATTTCTAAAGTTGCCTAAATTTCGCGGTATGTCACATGTGGATCTTCCTCAATCAGCTTACACACAGCATCAACGTTTTCTTGGGTGACTGCAGTTTTTGGACGACCTTGACGGGGATCATCACTGAGCTTGACACGTCCACTTTGAAATTCAGCAAACCAGCGATAAATTGTAGTTTGGATGGGGCTTCATCACCAAATCCAGAAATCATCCGGTCAATACACTGTTTTTGCGTTAAACCACTTCGAAAGTCATAATAAATCATCGCTCTTGAATTTCCTCGAGTCAATTCCATTTTCTCAACGACTAAACAAGTTTGACAAAACCTTGTGACAAGACCGAGAATCGTTTTTTTATAAATGGTATTCGATCTTTAAAACCAAGGAGTTTTCAATTAAAAAGATTTTAATATGACAGGAACAGTGGAAATATTCCATTCCCGATACTTTTAGTGCAGCCTAGTAATTCAGCAAACTACTTACGAACGGTTACTTCGCCCAGCGCAGAGTCCGGATAACACTCATCAAGCCCCTTTTTGGTATCAGCAGCACATTTTTTATCAAAAAGTAGTGTTTCATTAACGCACGAAATTCAATTTTATCCATATTTTTCAAAATAAATAAAGTTGCTTCACTCAAAATGCTGTATCTTACAAATTCTGGTATATATACAGTAATCTATGTCACAAACTAATAATCAGACAGCTGTCAAATTTTTACACGTTTCTTATGAAGTTTGGTACTATTGAGTTATACAAAACGTTAGTACTAACTAAAAATGATATGGATTTTATTCTAGTGGCGCTATCTCATAGAAACCATCCAAATTTTTCAGCCTACCTAATAATTATTCAAAACAATATTAATAAGAAATTGTATATAACAATTAAGATAACTGATAAGAACAACACTTGCTCTTTTATAGAGATATTACAACATTATAAAGAATGAGCATTTGTATATATATTTTATACATTTATCCCCATTGTTTTTCCAATTTCCAAAATCAAAAAATGATACATATTAGTTTGAATTTATATTGGAACAGCAAAAATATTGTGTATCTTATTTAGTTTTGTATTGCCTAATTATCGCAACCTACCCTTTTTGATGTTTTTATGTTTATTACACTTTCAGCATTTGGCGACGTTGGATATATCGCATAATGCAGTGGAGGTTCTAGTATTATCAGCTCTACAAGGTCTAAGAGAACTCTATGCATCACACAATGCTCTCCAGCATCTTGCATTGCACGGCGCTTCGTTGAGAATATTGAGTGCCCCATATAATCGTAAGTTAAATATTTGTTTCTTTTTTTTAGTTTAGATTTACAATTAGTTCCGGTAGGTGGCGCTATTGTCGAGATCCAGAAATCACCCGTACTAAGCCGGAGTGGATAGCTAGTTTGAAATAAAATATTTAGTGCATGTTTTATTTCAAACTAGCTATCCACACACTATAAAATATACATACAGTAAAATAAACATCACCATTAATTTAATAAATATTGTTGCAGAAATGGAAACCTTGACTACAACTGTGCCGCCTATCAACTTGGTAGAACTAAACGTATCACATAACAGACTGACTTCGCTACCGCAATGGCTCAGTGGTTGCTCAGACCTTACGACACTTCACGCGAGTAATAATTATCTTACATCACTTCCGGAGCATTTATTCTGCAGTGAACTTTCAAGTCTTAGTAATTTACATCTTGCACACAACAAAATCTCAAATATTCCGTCGATGCCTCGGTTAAGGTCACCGCTGAAGAAACTTCTATTACACGATAATTGTATACAAACGTTGCCTGAAAATTTCTTTTCTGTGTGTGACAGATTGTGTATCTTAAATTTATCCAATAACAGACTAAGTAGATTACCACGTGCAAGAGGACCATCTCCACAAAATTTGGAGAGGCTGTACTTAACAGCGAATTGTTTAACAGATGATGTTGTCGATGTAATCATTGCTTTCCGAAAATTAAAAATACTACATTTGGCTTACAACTGCTTGACGAGTCTGCCTGACAATGCGTTTAATTTTTGGCCCGAAATAGAAGAACTCGTGGTCTCTGGGAACTCTATCACGAAACTTCCCGATAATTTACCTCAATTAAATAATATCCGCATCGTGCGCGCTCATTCAAATAGATTGCGATCGGTTCCTATGTTCGCATGTAGTGCTTCCGTTAAAATATTAGATTTCGCTCATAATGAACTTGACACTGTGGATTTAAGGCTCTTGGCTCCAAAACAATTGAAATATCTCGATATTTCATGCAATAGGAAATTACAAGTAGATCCTTCCCAGTTTAATTCATATAGATGTCAACGACCTTTAAGCTTAGTTGACGTAACTGGAAGAAATTCTTTACCTTTGTCCCAGAAAAGTGGTTATCACGAAGAATTGAGTGGAGTTACTCCATGGACCATCGGATTTTCAGAATGCCCTAATAAATCGTTACAATTGTGTTGTGCTCAAATACGTCTTCCGTCATTTTGTAACAAAGAAGGTCTCTTTGCAATTATCGACGGAGAAACAGACACAGAAGTTCCAAGAATATTACAAACATGTTTACCTGGCCTTTTGCTAGAAGAAAAATCTATAAAAGAAACAGTAAATGAGTATATGAAATATGTTGTTTTATCAGCTCATAGAGAGTTGAAGGAAAAAGGTCAAAAAAAAGGTGCGTGCTTAATTATGTGTCATTTATCACCAATTAATTCAGCTGAAAATGGATTTGGACAAATATCTAAAAGATACAATATGAGATTAGCTAATGTTGGGGACACACGGGCTGTTTTGAGTAGGCGTAACGGGCCATTAAGTCTAGGAATAGAAAACAATAAGCGCTTAGGCCACTCTTCACTTTATCCAAATACAATACCTGACCCTGATGTCATTCAAACTATTATAAAAGACGACGATGAATTTTTGATTTTAGGAAATGGGATATTCTGGAACGCAGTTAGTGTGGACGCAGCGGTGTCAGAAGTACGTGCTGAAAGAAACCCCGTTCTTGCGGCAAAGCGTTTACAAGACTTAGCTCAAAGCTATGGAGTGGAAGACTGTATGTCAATTTTAATAGTGCGATTTGATAAAGCTGGACAAGCTGATGTAGATTTGTTAATGAGAGAACTGAGACAAACAATTGGCAGTACTAAGTCAGTTTGCAGGCCAGACTGTTGTTGCTCTAGATTGGAGCCTTGTTGCCATTCCATCACGCCACCGAAACCATGTAGTGATCGGTCATCGCCCAGTGGCCAAAGCGATCTTCCGCCCATAGAAGTCTTAAGTCCACAACATTATGCAAGTGTGCGATCGCAAAATAGAGCATCTGATCGAAAAATCCGAGGAGGCGTTGCTCGCGCTATACGAGTTCGAGTAGAAGAAGAAAAAGAGGATGAACAAAGGAAAGAAGAACTTTCTTCACCTGAAGAACAGTTCAAATGTTGGGAGTATATGTTAGAACAAAACACTCAGATGTTGTTCAATAAGGAATTGGATAATCTTTCTAAAGGAATAAAATCAAATGTAAGTACGCTTAAAACTTTGAAAGGTTTGTCGGGAAGTAGTCCTCAGCTACATTTAACTGAAAAACAATCGAAAAGTGTTCCGTTTTTATCAAAGCATTTTGGAAGCGCTCGCTCATTTGGCAATGCATTTAAACCAGAATTTCGGTTTGGTTCTGGTAGATTAGCAAATGGTGGACCAAATGCTGCATACTTTGGCTCGCTTCAAAGATTAATGCCATATCACTTAGAATACGATTTCGCTGTGATACAAGAGAAAGGAGGACAATCACAAGAATCATTAGACCTTGAAGGACGTATGCAACAATATTGGGGAGTTGCAACGACTGAGTTGTAAATATTGAAGAAAATGTAAAGAAACTTAAGAAGAGTTGTAAATAAAATTTTAATACATTAGCATATTAATATTTATCTCTCGACTAGATTTTTTGCACAAACTTTAATATTCCTGTGTACTTACGAAATAAACTTAGTGTATTATATTTTAAAACATACATTATATGTACAATTTTGTGATAGTATCTATTACTAAATGTTATCTTTTACTTAACTAATAATATAAATAAAATGCTGTATTAAATAAATAATGCCTTAATTATATTTTAACATCAATTAATTTTAATTAATACACAGATATTTACCAAAAAGATCTCTACTTATTTAATCTTCTTTTTATGAATCTTCGCGATAAGTCTGAGCCCAACAGTCAGTGAATATCTACAACGTAACATTCACAATACACATACATTAAATTATTTATATCAAGCCTTATTATTTAAGGCATAACGCTGCTTACATTTGTGCTTTAATGAAAATATTGTACAATTTAATATTTACAAGTTTCTAGGAATAAATATGTATGTTAAATTTTATTCCAGTTATCACTCAATTGTACTGACTTCATTGCACAAGTTTTTGCTGATGTCATTGCAACTATTTAAGTTTTAGATATTGTATTTAATAAATGGTTCCATTATCATAAAATGTTAACACCGTTGAGATTATTTCTCTTTTATTTGAAGGAAGCAACCTTTAATAATTTTGATAAGAAGATCTTGGAAACATGGTCATATGATGTCCAAAGACGTGGTAGTTCATAGAAACTTGTACAGAATGCCTTGTTAAAAATAAAGATACATCATAGCTATAAATGGATAATTCCAGAAATAATCTGTAGGCACATTTAGTAAGTACCGAAAACATTCCTCTTAACTGACTTTCAACTCGATTAAAGAGTTAGGTAAGTGCTTCGTTATCAGGAATCTTTCTTTATAAGCAATAAACTATGTTATATGTATATTTACATGACGAAAAGTAATATTCTCTTAGATATTTTGGCTCACATTTTGTAAATGAATATGGAAGTATTGTATTTGAATTTTAAAAAAATTAAAACTATAAATTACTTAATTTAAATAGTCTAGTATTTTTTGAACAAAAAATACAAGACACTTCAAAGTATGTAAGCTTCAATAATAACGAAGTACGTTGTGGGAAAAATCTGTGCGGATTCACATATCGACCAATCACGATTTTATTTACAAAGATCATATCATAGTTTTACATCGTCGATTTAAAAACTAGATAAATATTCGAGCCGTAATTGAAATATCTATACAATGTTAATGTTATGTTAAATCGAAGGACCGCTGCGGTCATTGCTAAGTCATGTATCACATTAAGAAAAAACATTTTGCAGTAATTTTGATATTAAAAAAAGGTAGTTGATACAGTAAAACCATATTAGTAAATATTTAGAGGCAAACATGCAATTACATTTCGGTCAACAACAGAGGACACTGCGGTAAAGTCATCCGGTAACAGGGGTAGAATGATAACTATTGTCCAATGGAGTATTCAATGTACCCGAAGGATCACAGTTCACGTTTGACGACGAGCTCAAGAGGTTGCACGGGTAGTGCGGGGAGCGCGGGGAGCGGCGGGTGCGCGGGCAGCGCGTGCGCCGGTGGCGGCCGCCGCTAGGGAAAGCCCCGCGGAGAGTAGTGGTGTGCTTCACCCAGCCACGAGTCCGGTGAAGGCGGGAAGTCCGGGTAGCCTCCTGCTGCCGGCGACGATGAACTGCTCATATCAGACGCGCCGCCTGCACCACCGCCGATGCCAGTGCCGCCCATCGCTTGTCCTATTAATACACGCATTATAACTTATTTGAGTGACAGCCTTCAAGTATTTCTTTTTAACTTGTTAAATACCTTCCCTGTGTTATTGAAAACCGATCTAAGTTAAAATTGGTTAGTATATTTACGCAGAAATATAGTATTATACATGCTCTGAGTAAGTTATTCCTTCTGTCGACTTTACAGTTTCGATCGACTTGAAGGATACTCTTATACCACCATTTTGGTCTTAGTTACAAGTCAATTTAATAATAAATCATATCTAATAAATCATGCCTATTAATTATCCTGTTCGTAATAAAAACGAAGCATACTTATGTATTATAACTTACTGTTATTGATATTATAATAATTTAAGCCCAGTACATATTTATATAATATATTGTGAAAAATAAGCTTAATCAAAATTAATTCGTTATTATATCAACAATTATTAACTAATAGAAGAATCTAGTATCTTTTAATTCGTTATGATATTTTGTGTGTCGTTCTAAATATAGAATATAGTAATATAGAGCCACGCTGTAATACGGTTGTAGCATCAGGTGGATTGTGTGCTCGTTTGTAACCTTATTAAATAACAATATCTGTTGGCGACGCGCCTATAAAAATGTTTCAGTTTATTAAATCAACCGATGACGTTGCTATGAAAAAAGGGGCAGTCACGAGCAACGACGCTCTGATAAGAGAATGCTTAGTTAAATCTTTAAGAAATGTCGAATTAATGATATGAAGGTCTTGGGTTCGACTCCCAGGCCGGACTAGTTTGTTTGTTTTCCTAAGTAATATCGCTTAATAAATTCGTAAGGAATTTAAGATATAAATTATGTTACCGGATTTGTTCCCCGGTCGAGATAATCACTCTGTGCATAGGCAGAATTAATGGATATTAATTGCATAAATGTTGTTTTGTATAAGTTTGATACGTTTTGTACGAAAACAAATGCCTATTTGTTATGATTGATTAATGAGAACATTCATTTATATTGTTATCTGATTAAAGATAGTTTCATACAGTTCGAAAATTGTATAAAAGCATTTAATTTGCCTAATATGGTCAAAATTGGTGTATTTCATAATTTAATTTTTTCTGATAGCCGAGAGCCGTGCAAAAGTTAGTTGTTCAAATAGTGTGAGTTCATAGACGCACGCCAAGTCACACCCTTAGGAGGCCGAATATGTAAAATTTAAAATGTTTGTAATTCAGTGATTTATGTAAAAATTACTTGTAAAATATTCCAGGATAATTGTACGTGCTAAAAAGGTAAATTCTGTGTTATTTTCATGTGAAAATTCCTGTGTATAAGTGAAATAATGATAGTTTTGTATAAGAAATTTAAAAGTGTTTTAAATAGTGAAATAAATAGAAAAAATGTAAATTAAACTATTGTATTGGTTAGCTTATGTATAAATTCAAGTGAGAAACATTGTTTTAACTTTCTGTGTTAAATATTTAAGAAATTTCGATTTCGAACTTGGGAGTAAAATAGGCAGTTTTCGTTTAATAAATAAAAGGTTTTTTATGATATGAAGATATGATGTATATCATGGTGTAGATATTGTTTTGTACTACCTATATTGATAAATTGTATTTGTATATGATTTGAATAAATAAAGGTATTGAGTGAAACGTGAGAGAGTAATAGTACAAATTCATGTAATTAAGTTGCGCAAGCGCGCAGATGGCGCGGCTCACTTTCGCGTATAGCTCTGGGGTAGCTTAGTGAACGGGTTTTATTGCAATTCGTTCGGGAATCCTTCGGGAATCCTTCGGGAAAGTACGAAAATCCTTCGGGAAAAGTGCAAAACCAGCAGTCAAGAAAGAAAAAGTATAGGGAAAAGTGATTACTCTCTCACGGAACGGTTTGAAGATAATTGCTGTTTCATTCCCAAGATCCTTTAAGTTATACAGTCCACATCGAAGAATTAAGGCGTCGGGACCGGGACGACTTCGGAAGACCCGTAATCCCCGTCTGAACCTACTTGCTGAAAAGGAAGAGGTTATCGCCCTAGTGTGTTACTCCGTTGCGGAGATCACATACGTTGTTCCCGAACCCAACGTAGGCGTGATAGGAGGCCGGATCGAGAGAAGCCTCGATTCCTGTTTCTTAGTACCCGATCCGCTAGGTCCTTTTCAATTGGTCCTTTTCAGGATCAAGAGGGACACCGACCTGGTCCTTTTCAATTGGTCCTTTGCGGCCGATTGAGAGGACGCCCGAACCTGAGTTCCTTTTCAAATTGGACCTTCGGAGCCGGATTGAAGACCACCCGAACCCCGCCAGCTGGATCAAGGAACCAGCTGTGGACTGCTGGTTGTGGAAGAAGAAGACCTTCGGAAGCCGAGTGAAGATCAGCAACCGAAGGAAGCCAGAGGTTTGAGCTGAAGCAATAGGACCAAAGGCCTGAAGACCAGGACGGCAGCACTGAAGGGCTGGACCTGGAACTACCGGAAGAAAGAAAACCGGGATTGCAGCTTGGGGCGTGTGCTCGCATGGGGCACATATCGCAGCCGGGCGCAGGTGTCTTGTGAAGGCACTCATCGTAGCCAAGCAGGGCTTGGCATTTTTCCTGTCGGGCAAGCGTGCTCGGCATTTCCTGTCAGACGATCGTGTCTGGCATTTCCTGTCGGACGACCGTGTCCGGCATTTCCCGTCGGGTCATCAGGGTGCAAAAAGCATCCACCGCTGCTGCTGCCGGGCGAGGGTGCGCGTGGGCACCTGACTGCATCGCGGCCGGAGGAGGGCGCTTGGACGAGGCGTCACCGGCAACTGGGCGGCGAGCACAGCATACATCCCGACCACCTAACGGTGCCAAACGGTTGGGCTCTGGCATAACACCTTCGGGTGGAGCAGTTCTCTCGAGCGAGACTGCGCTTGCACTACCGCTCGACTGTTTCGTCATATTCCTTGGCGGGACAGTTCCTAAACCTTTCCTCCATTCCATTCCTGCACGACTCCATCCCTGGACGGCTCACCTCGGTAGGCCCCGTTCAGGATTGATAGGGCTGATAGGGCTGTTAGGGTGGTAGTAGGGTTGTAGGGTTGGGAGATAAAGGGGGGAGGGGTAGTGGTGTTAGGTTGGGGTGTAGAAGGGTTGTAGGTAAGGGACTGTAGGGACAGTTAGGGACCGTAGGCCAACAATCACCTTCCTGCAAGATGAAGAAGGCACAAGACCAGACAGGGAGAAGCGAAGGGAGCAGGACAAGGACAGGGCTCTCAAGAAAAGCTAAAGAAGCGGAATCATCTGGAGCGACCACAGCTACTGCGTCAAATGGAGTAACTCCTTCAAGTGGAGCCACCACAGACACGTCCACATGCACGTGGGACTCAGGGACGTCCATGGCAACGACAAGCAACCGGACGGACACCAGTGGTACACAGGCCAGCACCGCACAACAATCCGTTATATCCAGGAGTGAAACGGTGGTCGAAAAAAGTAGGTCAAAGGACCGAAGAAGCGGCATCGTCAAGGACAGTAATCGGGCACACTAGTGATAAAGGGTCACAGAGAGGTAGTAGGTCATCGCGATCGGCGAGGCTGAAAGCCGAATTAGAGGCGCGGATTAAATTCGAACGCTCAGAGCTCGAACGAGCACAGGCAGCTGCTGCCTTAGCCAAGTCTCAATGGGAGTTGGCACGACTCAACCGAGAAGAGGAGATCGACTCGAGTGAGGATGGTGAAGAGCGGAATACTCAGGTGGAACCTTTCGTAAGGAGTTGGGTTCAGCAAACCATAATGAGCGCGCCGGTTAGTGTAGCACAACCCGATATTACTGATAAGGAAGCGTGTAAAGGATCACGCCGCAAAGGGGCGGAGGTCGAGCGCAACCTAGGAAATGCACAGAAAACACACGCGAGTGAGGTGTCAGAATTGACCGAAGCGATTGTGAGTGCAATAAAAATAGCTGGTAAAGATAAATCTTCCCAGCTTCATTTCCTCCAGGAATTACCGGTGTTCGATGGAGACCCGGGTGAATGGATAATTTTCAAAACGGTGTTTGAAGACACAAAAGGCCAATTTTCAGGGGTGCAAAATGTCGCACGCCTTAGGAGGGCATTAAAGGGCACCGCTAAAGAGGCGGTTAAGTCGCTGTTATTTACTTTATGTGAACCTGAAGAAATAATGAACGCTCTCGAAAGAAGATTCGGTAGGGTTGAGATGCTCATTCTAGCCGAAATCGAGAATGTAAAGCGTATGCCAAGATTGGCAGAAGATTGCCGAAATATAGGATCTTTTGCAAGTCGTATTACGAACGTGGTTGCCACAATACAAGCGTTGAATCAACCACAGTATTTATACTCACCGGAGTTAGTGAGCCGCATAGTGGAGAAACTTGGAACTATGATTAAATTTAAATGGTTTGAATATCGAGCTCAATATCCTTTGGAGCCAGAGTTACAGAAGATGGCCAAGTTTTTAAATTTATTGAGTGAACAATTTGGAACGTCCTTAAGCAATGAAAATGCGCCTGAAAAAAGGAAGCGTCCTGAATTCAGGAAGCAAACTGTACACACTGCAAAGGGAGGTGTACGCAGCTGTGCCGAGAGCGAGCGCTATATGCGCCGAAGTAATATGAGCGAGCGTTTAGAACGCCGAAATAATAAAAGGCACAACCGACAAGTGGTTATGATAACCCAGGACAAGCCTGTAAGTCGGGTAACACATAAGTGTGTTATATGCAACAAGAAGCACTCTATAGTGAGTTGTTACAAGTTTAAGGACATGAATATTCGCGAGAAATGGGAAGCCGTCAAAAAGGCCAAAGTATGTTTCCAATGTTTGTCACCTAACCATAGGAGGTTAGAGTGCAAAGCGAAAAAATGTGGTGTAGAAGGATGTAGAATGTCACATCATCGAATGCTACACCGATACCCCAATGAAAATACCTCGCCACAAGGGGACGAGGGGGGTAAAGATGCTCAGATTACAACTGTTAGTACAGTAAATGCACTGGCATGTGCATATTTAAAGATCATACCGGTCGAGTTGCATGGGCCTAGAGGAA